AAATATTGTAATATATAATAAAAATATATTGAGTTAATTGAGAGCACTAGTTTATTTGGCCCGTTAATTTGAATGAATAAATTTAAAAAATGATCAGTGCACTGAAATGATTTGTGAAATCGGTAAATTTTATTTAAATTATCATTTGGTAATGTTGAAATTTTGACAGAAATAACCTTAAACATATAAAAATCTCAATGAAAAAGAGCAATAGTGACGTAAGGAATGGAAATATTATAAGCAAAATTATTCATTAGAAACGATAAAATTTTATTTTAACGCAAATTTAAATTCTTTGTAGGATATTTTTGAAACAACAGTTCCAATATTTAAATTTTTCCTAATTTAAGCATTAATATAATGTAATACAATACCATTTCGTGTGCAAAAAAAAGAAAAAATAAAAAATGTTAAATTTCCGATAATTTTAGATAATTTCAGTTCATAACTTGAACTTTTTATTGAAAAAAGTTTCGTTTTCTTTTATCGCTAAAACAAATATCTTTTTTAATAATTGTGTATAAATGAAATTGAAAATACAACATTATCGGATTTGATTTATTATAACAAATTTTTTCTCAATCCCGTAATGGAATGAAGTATTGATGTTTTAATATTAAAGATCAGATTAGTAATAATTAATTATTTTAAGGAAGTTTTTTTTTCACCACCAGCAAGAATTTTGCTCCATTATTTTTGCTTAATTGGTACATGAGGGATTTCAAAATGATGAATTGGTCTTTCCACATTTCTTACAACTGAAAGCTAAAATGAGAGGAAAGAATGAAGCAGAGAGATAAAATAAATTATTTTTTACTTCTGTTGAAAAAATGCTTCAAATAAAAAATTTGATGGGTTGTAACAGATTTAATATTAAATTTTAATTTCTATTTCAGAGAGAAAAAAGATTAAATATTGCTAACTTCTTTTTTTCTAGCAGTTGAAAAAAAAAAGAAAATAATTAGTTCGAACTTAAGACTGTGCTTTTTTTCATATTCTGAGCTGCAGGCTTGTAGTTTAAAAGATAAGAGAAACACAACAATGTTGTGTTTTTGTTTTTCAGAATTTTTATATATAAATTTATAAAATTCACCATTAAAATTTTTACGGTTCACTTTTTTCGAAATAATTTTTCAATTTTCTCTTGCGGAATCCGATAAGATGGAATATCTTATTCATCCAAAAAATTCAACTTATCACCATTTTACACTTTCCACAAGTTTCTTTATTCCATCAGGAATGGATATTTCATCATCAGGATTTACAATGTAAAAGAACAGGAATTCTGGGATGATTTACAAACTGCATATTTAAATGTTCTTCTATAATTAATTAATTGCTAAAATGTGGTATGATGAATGGAAAAATGATAATAAAATTCTCTCATAGGTTTGAAATTTTCTCTATCAATTAATTTTGAATATTCCGAAGAAATTTTTTTTAGTACGGAAACTGAATGAGATGAAGCATTTGCAATAATTAGCTATTCATTTCATAATTATCACATTCCACATGAACCACTAAATCATACCTCTCATCTTTGATCGACAATAGCTCCAATAGCACTTTTCTCATTGCTTTCAATCACTGTTAGTTCTTTCTCAATTTATTTTAAAAATATATTTAAAACGCTTTCTCTATTTAATTAATTTTGAACATTCACTCTAGAGGTACTTTTAATAGCACTGAAATTGAAGTATACTTTTATATAATAATCATTCATTCAAATTTTCCTGCTACCTTTTTTAATTAAGTTATTAAAATGAAATAAATTATCGCTAAATTTTGTTTGGTACTCTGTGAAAACGATGACAAAAAATATTTTGGTTATTAAATGGAAGTAAATGTTTCCTACCAAAAATTTTCAACTATTTTAGCATTTTAATAATAGGAAACTTGGAAGATAATATCGGCAGTAGTTCAGTTTGTTTTTTAACTCTAAAAATTTCTCGACAATTTTCTTTCTCTAATCGATCAATTAATTATTCACTTTAATTTAACAATAAAAATAGTTTCTAGTTTTATCATAAAATTCATTCCCTGCTATATCTTCTTGCAATTCATAAAACATTTCAGGAAAAGTGAAAAAATAATGTAAGATGAGAAAATTAAAATTAGAATTTATCATTTTTTTTTATAAGTGAACGATTACCTCCGTTTAACAATTTTTTTTAAAGCAATTTTTTAAATCAATTTCAACATTCTTATGTAATCTTGAATTCTGTGTTACCTCTTTGCAGACGGATATTTTGTGCAGAGAGATTTAAATGCATTATGACAAGATATTTATCAGATTTAATTTTGATGTCTTATACATTTTATTCATATTTCACTAAATCAGGAACTACTTTGACCATAAAAGCATGCACTATTGCGGTAAATAAAGTAGTTCCTGTTTCAATGAAATATGAATAAAAATTAATAAATAATTGAAGTGTTGTCTTGAATTTATTTATATTTGAAATATTACTAAATTAGATTAAAATAAGCTAAGATGAGAAATTTATTTCAGTTAGCTGATTTTCTGGTGTGTAGAAATTTCAGCAAGAAAGAAGTTATCTCTCTCATATTAGACTGCAAAGTTAGCTTTAATCAAATATACATCGTTGGATAATAGAGCTCTTAGCTGAAATCAGCAAAGAACGCAAATTTCATTTTTTTTCTCTTTTTAAAATTAGCATTTCTATATTGTAATAGTTAGTTGTGATCTCTGGTTTTGCTTCTCTTTTTTTTTCTTTTTTATTTTTTGAAAGGAAATAGCTTTATTCATTAGTCTTTTACCATCTTTATGAAAAATCATTCCCGTTTCTACTGCAATACATATGTAATAATTTAATTTATAACAATATTAAATATTTCAGACAAAAATAAAAATCAATATCATATATGTTCATATTAAAAAGATCATTCAGATTAAAATCGTACATACGCTTATTGATTGTGTTCAATTTATGATCTCACATTTCATTTATGTCAAAAAAAAATTGCAAAAATAAGCTCTGTATTACCTTTATGAATTTTAAATTAAAGTTAATTATGAATTAGCAATAACTTTAAAATTTTACTCTATGCTTCAACATGAAATAAATTAATCAGTGAAATAAATTGCTCGAATTAATCACAAAATAATTTTCAGCCTAATTATTCATATAGATATGAATTTTTTAAAAATTATTTGCTCGAAATCATTTAATCCAGAAGTAGATTATTTTTTTTATTCTTTAAAATCGAAGCTTACATCCATATTTCTATCTTCTTTGTGCCTTTAACCATGGATGAAAAAAGAGTAGCAAAAAATCTGCCAAAAAAATTAGAAAATTGGTGCATCCGTGTGGTCTTTGATCGAAATTTAACAAAGAAAAAAATGTGTAAAGTTAACTAAATTAACAATCCTATCAATTTAAATCGGATTCAGAAGAAGCCATCATTTCATTTCACTTTAAATTGAAAATTAAACTTTTATCTTATCTTTTTTTGCAAGTTATATCTTTTCATCGTATAAATTAAAATAATTTCAGCAAACTATTCGCAGTCAGAGAGAAATTTTGATATAATCTATCGATAAGTCTGATTATTTCTTTCTGTACATTACATTTAACAAATTTTTTTATTTCAAATATTGTTTTAAAGAAATTTGACTGCTAAAGAACACTGAATGGGCACAGGCGGAAGCAAAGAAGATAACGATACGAAACGAAAGAAAACATGCAAAAAAATTCCAAAAAAAGATTTATTGGAATTAGAAAGCAAAACATATTGTTAGTTCAATTTTTTTTTCACTAAGCTATTTATTGAAAATTTGAAACTAATTTCATTGTTTTTACTTAATTTTAATTAAATAATAAAGATTAGCAGCATAATTAGATATTTTTTTTATTGGTAATGTTAACGAATAATGAAAAAAAAACAAATAAATAATAATATATAAATGTGAACTTTTTTCAATGATTTTTTTTATTTGCTAAAGATAATTTAATCATACATTCAATAAATTCTACAAATAAATATTCAATTGATAAGGGACTTTAATGTTCAAATAGGAAAGCCATCCTTTGTACAAAATTTGCTTTTGAACATAAAATGATCATATCAAATTTACAGTTACTAAAAAGGAATTACGAAAATGGTACAAAGATTTTATAAAAGATTATCCCGATGGAAAACTGAAAGTGGAAGAATTCCAGAGTATTTATAAACAATTCTTTCCAAATGGTGATCCGAAAAAATTTGCTACATTTGTGTTCAGTGTCTTTGACAGTAATAATGTTAGCTTTATCATAAATTATTATTGCATGGCTAATTTTTCAACTATTTTCAGATTATATCATTTATCACATTATCATTCAGATTGTTTCGCTTAATTAGGCGCAAACTTGTTTCATTCAAAAATATTTCCTAGTAGTTTTTTAATTAGCATTAATTAAATACATTTTTTTGCTTTTGCTTCTGCAGTTGCAAGAGCTTGCATAGTTGTTCTATGAAATAACCGATTGATAACATTATCATTTATGACAGACAAAATCATTTATTAAATTCCGGAGGAAAGTATATATGATAATATTTAAGTTCTCTTAAAATCAGCCAATTGATAGTTCAGTTTACTTGATTTAAATGAAAAGTTTCATTGCAAACTTCAAATTAATTCAAAATTCATTTTCAATATCATATTAAAAAGAAAGAAAGCAACATCTTTTTAGATGAATTCTAAAATCATGCACATTTAAATACTTACTACATTTCAATGTTCATCCATAATTACATTCCTTTAATTTTTGCCATTCCTAAGACTCGAAAAAAAGAAAGTTGAATTTTGCAAACGCTGGAAACTTCAGAAGTCAATTCTGAATCATTTTGAAAACATTTTAATTCCCTACATAGAATGATTTGTTATTCAAAATGTTCAGAATAAGAAAAGTTCTTTTTTTTTCAAGATTGAATTTTACAGAACATTGCTAAGCCTGTGTTAAATTTCATAGACCTATGTGAAAAAAAAAAGTTTTGATTTTGCTAGCAAAATTTTAACAGCAAAACGGAAATTTCCAAACTTGAAAAAAAAAATGTAATTTTGCATTCTGACATCTAACAAAAAGTTTTTATTATGTTATAAATTTTTTTGAATATTTCATAATTTCATGCTGCAATAAGCAATTTTTCATTTTCTGTTTGAAGCAAAACCGATAAGTGAACATGAAAACGTCACTTTTCATTTTTTATTGTTTTACTAACAAAATTAGAGAATAAAATTAATTCAGGATGGTTATATATCGTTTCATGAATTCATTGTAGCCTTATCAATCACATCACGAGGTACACTCGATGAAAAGCTAGACTGTAAGCTATCAATTTCTTCTTTTATTTTCTTATTTTTTTTTTTTGAATGCCATTACTAATTTCTAAAATATTTTCCATTTATTTATTTATTTAGGGGCTTTTTCATTATATGATGTAGACAAAGATGGCTACATAACGATGAAAGAAATGGCAGATATTATTGATGCAATTCATTCAATGATCGGTGATATACTTCAATTACCCAACGATGAGGACACTCCCGAGAAACGAGTTGCCAAAATTTTCTCTAATATGGATTATGTTTGTTCATTTTATATATTTCCTTCTCATTTGCAATAAAATAATTCTTTTTTTCTATTTCTCGACGAATTCCAATTAAAATTATTACCTAAATATTTGATAGGAATTTTGAGTGTTATTAATTTTACCTGCTTTCTTTGACTGTTTCATTCTTATTTTTTATAAGAGTTATTCTAGCGTGAAAAACTTGAAATACTTTTTTTTTTTGCTTGATTTAAACTAACACATATTCAGTAATATTGATAAATGCAGCTAATTAATTATCTGTTGGAAATTTTGAAATTTTATTTATTACTTTTAATGACAAAAAAAAAAAATTTTGCAGAATCTTGATGGTAAATTAACGCTTGAAGAATTCAAGCAAGGCTCTAAAAATGATCCATGCATTGTGCAAGCTCTTACAACGGATATTCATCAGTAATGGAAATGTACTTAATTATCATATCTATATTGATGTATTGGATATATTTTCAATAATTTGTTTATCAATTTCTTTTTTTCTCGTTTGTTTATTAAAAATATAAAAATTATCAATATCTCAGAAAAAGAGAAATAAAGAGAATAATCGAAATGAGAAAGATAACAATTCTAATCTTGATGATTTGATTCAAAGTACTCTCAACCGTATAAAATTAAATCTTTTTAATTTCCTATCATTTATTATTTCAAAAGGTTTTGTTAAATTTTATACATTACAAATTAGTATCAAACTTAAAATTACTGGTGGCATAAAGAACAAAATACAATAATCTTTGAATTGCGGTAAAGCAGAAAAAAAGAAAATTCAGGAAGCCAAATATTATGCTATAAACTCATAAAAACTCTTTTCAATTTCCAATATTTTGTTTTTTTTTTCTTTTAGTCAAAAATCTTGAAAGTACACTTTATGAGAATGAAATATAAAATTTGTTATCGATCAAATCAATTGCTAAAATCATATATTGGCTGTACTGATAAAAGAATCACACTTGTTGTGAAGGAGAGATACAATTGCAAACCAACATTTTAAAGAAAACTAGAATAATCATCGATTATGTGAAATTTAGATTTCAATTTCAGAAATTTTCATAAGGTGAAATTTGAAATTTCTGTGGAGATTCTCTAATAATATCTTAAAATTCGGCTTCATTTCGAATAGCTGTATCCGTTTGGCATTTTCAAACTTTGCAGTTTATTAGCTTATTGCTAAAGTACACATATATGCTGCAGTTACTGTTCAAACTTATCATCAGAATACAAAGTCCAATAGGAACAATCAAAACTTCGCTCATTGGGATAATAATTTTTCATTTGGAGCTTCTCATTTATCTCGTTAAATATAAAATCAGGGAATATGAAGAATTAATTAGTTCAGTTTACGGGGGAATTAACGAGGTGGGAGATGGCGGGGTTTTGATGGACTTATTCTGGGCTTTCAGATTTATTCGTTTCATATTTTATCATCCGATTTTGTTTGTTATTCTCAAGATTAATGCATTTGGTTAATGGTGAAAAGAATGAGTTAATAATGTGAGAATGAATGATAGTTTAATATTTTGTCAAATATTTTTTATCAGGTTTGCTGATGACGATTATGCACTGAGTAATGATATGAACGTTATGCATTGAGTAATGATATGAACGTTATGCATTAAAAATGATGTGAACTTATTCGTTTCAGTAGCAGATTTTTCCAGCATTTCGATGCAATTTCTTTAGCAAATAAATGAGCAGTGGGATCAATTTTCGAGCTAAAGACGATGCCTCATCATTGGGCCCTTATCGAGATCAACGATTCAAAGTCACTTCTTATCTTTGTCACTTTTTTATTGCCTATCGTGATTGATCTACAAATATCTTTAACGATTTCTTTTTTACAAAAGTATATTTAATTAGATAGTCACTTAAAAGGATTTCGAAAAAGTAGGCCGTCATCCTTTTTTTTTGGGAAGTTATTCTTATACACTTCGTAAAGAGGATAAGTCATGAAGATTTAGGATGAACCGTTGCTTGGATAAAGAAGTCTTAAACAGTTTTCTTAATGTTTTCAGAGTCTTGATTTACATTCAGAGTTTTTAGTACTTTTTTGCTTAGCTTCTTATTATATTATATTTCCAAAAGAAATGGATGGTGAATGATACTATTATTAATTTGCGCACTGCAAAATTTATCTGAATTTTGACTATAAATTCTGAACTTCTCAGGCTATGTTCATAAGATTCGACTATAAACCTGTATTTTAGGGTTCACTGCGTGAACAGGAAAAGCTTCTGCTTACTTCGAAAACACTCTATGTTGGCAATCTCTCGTACTATACTACAGAGGAGCAGGTTTGTATAATCAAATTATAGTTTTCATACTTATTTATGATTCTTCTGCTCTTCAACTTTCTTATTTTCTGTAATTTTTCAGACTTATGAACTATTTAGTCGGGCTGGTGATATCAAGCGGATAATCATGGGTATTGATCGATTTAAGAAAACACCATGTGGATTCTGTTTTGTTGAGTGAGTTGAAAAATTGGGTTTTTCCAGTATGCAGAAATTTATTTCTTTTTATTTTGACGTAGCATTGAAAATTTTCAACAAATTTTGAATTAATTTGCAGTGTGCAGTAAAATTTCTTTACTTCCGACGGATGACTTTGATGTTGGGAGTCATAGTTTGACATTAATTAGTGATAGCACTGGAAGCATTACTTTTTCGGAATAAATAGTTTGATTTTAAAAAGAAAACCAAATAAAACTGTGTAATTTATATATAGTAAGAATCATTATATTATGCAGATACTACCTCCGGGAGGATGCAGAAGACGCAATGCGTTGTATAAATGGAACCCGGTTAGATGATCGAATAATTCGTACGGATTGGGACGCTGGATTTATGGAAGGTCGTCAGTATGGACGTGGTAAGCATGGCGGGCAGGTATTGCGATTTCGGTTGTTTCTATTTTGATTTCACCTATCTATTTTTAACTTTGGTTCATTACAGCTTTTCGTATTCAGATTCATCTGATAATATTTAATGAAGCCAGTAGCTCTCTTAAAATTTTGCTCTTATTTCTTATTGGATTTCTTTTTGGTATAATCAAGAAATCGCATTTTGAAACATACACTTATATCCTAGGCTGAATTTATTATAGGTTCGAGATGAATATCGCAAAGATTATGATCCAGGACGGGGAGGATGGAATAGAGTGATTGCAACAAGAAGTAAATTTTTTATTCTTTCAGGATCATTTAAAAGATATTTTGCAAAATTTTTTTATAAAATTTGTGGTTTTAAAATTTCTTATTCATCTCTTGAAGATCATTTGAAACTGTTTGTATAAACATTAATGCTTTTCATTCTTTGCTTTATAGCTGCTGGACCAGATTAATTCCCAGGGAGTACATTTAACAAAGATGAAGAATCCTAATGTACCGATGTATTTAAAACAGAAAAATAATGAGGATGGCTTGGACCAGTTTGTTATTTAATCATAATTACATTTTTCTGTTTCTGTTGTAACAAATTTTAAGGAAATTTTAGTTCTAAAATACCATTTAAGTCGTTAGTTGCATTCAAATGTGCTCACCAACTAACTACAATGTAATTTTTAGAAAGGCATTCTTGTGTCTTAAGTTTGTTTTATATACGATTATATATTTTATAACTGATTCATTAGCATCATTTTTTCTCAAAATTGTTTGTACTATTATAATGCCGACAAACGAGATATTCTAAGCAAAAATTCTAGTAGTGAACTGGAGTTTGAACAATTCTCACATATTTGAAAGAATGTTGTCAGGAAAAAATGTCTTATTGATTACAGTAATGTTGTTATTTGTTCATTTTTACAAAAAAATGATTCAAAACTAAATGGCTACATTTTCTCGATAATGGTTTGTAGTAGTTTTCATTGGCATTTTGGTTCCCCAGACTGCTGATTCATATTAAAAGTCGATAAAAAACATGATGGTGTTTCAGATACTTCAAAATTGTCTTGTTAAATCAGAAAATGTCTTTTACATCATCTCTCATGTTGTCGATCATCAACATTCAGTGCAGCTAATTTCACTTTCACCTGCATATTCACGCTCATAAATTATACAAAGTTTTTGTTTGGTTTTTAAACTTTTCGTTTATAAGTTTTTGCCGATTGTTTTTTGTTTTCTAAAACATGAATTTAATAAAAAATTTCATGCTACACTCTCAATGTCATTGTGAAACTGGTTCATATTTTCAATCTTGAAGTCAAATTATTTTAAATGTTTTTTTTTTCTTGGAACTTTATAATAAAGCTGATTTGAAAAATTCAATTGAACTTTTTTATTTTTCAATGTAGTTCTTATTCCAATTATCGTAATGTTTACGCTTAACCAGACATGAAATATGAATATTTCCATTTTCCCTACCTTTTTCCTCTTTTTTTTACTGAAAATATTGGATGGATTACTTATTGTGGAAATGTAATTCATATACTTTTTCAATGGATTAGGATTATTTTATTATGGTAGAACTTATGTAATATGTCGTACACATGTTTATAAGCCACATTGATAAATGTGATGATATCAGCAATAGGTAAATCATTGATGAATAGAATGCTTCAGTGTTGGCGAAATTTTATTTTAAATGGAAAATTGCGTCTTCAACCTCCTGTCATTTGATCTCTCAGAAATCAGGGCACGTTAGGAAATGTGATAGTATGGTTTTTTGATCATTGTGAAAGTAAAGATAACGGTGGGCAAAGCTAAACAAATTCGGATTTCTTTTCATTCTAATAATGATCTCTTTTTATATATAAATGCAATGACATGAGTAGATTGCTAGAAGGGAAACGCAAAAAGTAGTCCACAAAATTTCACCATATGTGCACCTCCCAGAAATCAAGACATATGATCGTATTTAGGCGTTTCCTAATGATCGGGAATAAACGAACAAACAGAGAATTAAATTTGTATTTGTTGGGCTCAACGGTTTTAGCCGTGAAATTTGATTTCATTCATAAACTTTTGTTTAAAAAATAAAACAAATGTGTCTGTGTGAAGTAATGTGCACTTATTTACGATACTTTCATTTAGCTCTAATTTATTTCTTCCAACAAATTCATTCATTCATTCATTTTTCCAATTTCTCGTAGGAATTGTTGTTTCAGATTATAAATAGCGATAACATGAATACATGTATATTCATGTATGTTGATAAAATATTCTTTTTAAACATTAAATCTTGTTAATTCGATCGTTATAATGTTCTTTTTATTCTAATTTTTAAATGATAATGGAAATTATAAGGGTTTTTAAATTAAACTGGTTTATTGTGCTTATAGCTGAAAATTATGCTAACTCATTTAACCAATGTACTTTTTCTCTGTTTTTGCACATCTCACATTATTTCGTACAAGAAAATATAACTCTCGTGAAACATTACCGTAATCGATATTTTCTTCTCTTGCACTACAGAAAAAATAGTATCGGCTAAATAATACTTAGTAATAAGTGAAAATTATTTAATAGCAAAATATGAAAATTGCCACAGCTAAAATTAAGTGCCTCAAATTATCAATATTTACACCAACTAATGTGGATATGACGGAACTGTCATGTAATTCTCATTTAAAAAATTTGTACACAGTCATATTTATCATGTAAAATAAGAAAACTTTAAAGTTTAGATAATTTTAGTAAGTAATGAATGCTGCTTATTTTAAATTATTTCGTTGATTTACATTCATCGTGAAATTGTGAAAATTGGGTGAAAAACTTTTAAAAAAAAAGTTGCAATCACAGATTTTGCATCAAACCTAAAACATTGGCGTCTTTTTTTCGGTAACATCGGAAGTTTTGTTCCTCAACTTTGTTGTAACATTGCTTCAATTTCCAGAAGAAATAGTTCAATATCAAAAAGAAAAAAAAGCAATAAGCGATAAACAGTTATCAAATTAGACAAAATTAAATTACCAACCTATAGAAGCAAACATCAATTATCAATTGATATGTCCTATTTTTTCGAATGTTTTTCATTTTGAAAAATGGTTCAGGAAAGTGGAGAAGTCGACATTGTTGGATGAAAATAAAACATTTTAATTTTCTTCTTATGATCTCAAAAATAGATGAATCATCAATTGAAATATTTGCAAATTTCTCCAAACAGATAATGTGCTATATAACTATAAAATTGGAAAAATTAATCAAAATAAAGTTAGCACTAAAAAAAATTTTCTTAGCAAACAAAAAATAAAGGCGAAAAAAAGAAGAATGAAATGAGTAATCTAAAAATATTTAAAGTTTTAAATAATAAACAAGAAAGAAATAGAAAATTCTTTCTCAAAAATAATGCTTTGTTTCTTTCTTATTTTTTTCTCCTCGAGAAATTTTTTTAACCACTAACATTTAACAAAGCAACAGCTGCTATTTCCAAAAATTTTCTTTTTCATTAACCCTTCCTTATCATCAGTTGGAATTTGTTAAAGTGTAATTTTCTTTACATCTGAAATTATGCTCTTCCGCACGCGGCTTTTCAACTAACTTTTGCCAAATGATTTATTAAACTTTTGAAGGATCCAAAAAATTTAAATTAAATTTCAAAAATGGCCTCTCTTTCATCTATTAACCAATTTCATCTCTTTAGGCTAACAAATAAACAAGATGAAGAGATTCTTTTATCATTGATTCATATAAGAGGGCTGATTGTGAGAAATAATAGTTTTAAAAATAAGAAATGAAGTTAACTTTTTTCTTCACTTTAGAAAATTTGGATGAATTTGAAAAATGGAAAGGAAAAAAAGATTAATATATATATATATATATATATATAAAGGAAAAAAAGATTAATATTTATTGCTAACATGCAGTCATATGAATGATAGCAATGGTCGAAAACTATCAATCATAATTGCGTTAAATTAGCATGACATCAAATATTAATTTAAATGATTGATTGATGGAAATTAGCTAACCATACCTTTCGCTCAATAACAATTATCTAAGAAGAAATATAAATTACACCATAATTGCATCCCTTTCGGAATATCTTCCAACATAAATTTAAGATGTGTGAATCATTAGTGTGATTGATTGGAATGAGAATTTATGGCTCAGTGTTAAAATAATAGGTATTAAATTTAAAGTTT